TATCGTCAATAGCGAAACTAATGGCGGGGTGACTGCGGTCGTAGTTGCGGTGCCAAGAACGCTGAGCTGCCGTAATAGAATCCTGTGCTTCGACTAAAGTCGCTTTTTGTACTTCAAGGAAGGTAGAGGCAGGCGGAAAAACGTCGGCAGCCGTAGTGACCACCAAGTCGCCATTCGAACGCGGCAAATACCCCAGATCCGCGACAAACGGTGCCAATCCAGTGGTGGAATGAATACGCGAATTGTACGCAAATTCAGCCATAGGAAGAAAGGCTTCCCAATCCGTCTGGTGAGGATCGAGAAAGTGTCGGAGATACTCGATAATAAACTTGTTCGTCACTTCCGATTGCCCATCGGTCGACGGTCGAAACGCAGTACCCAAATGAAGTTCAGACCCTTGGAGCTTCATTAAACTGGTCCAAAACTTCGATGTGAATTTAGCATCTCGATCCGAAACAATTGAGCCAGGGAGACCGTGTAAGCGCTGATACGACGAACAGAAAAGTGTAGCAGTGTCAAGAGCGGAGGCTCTAGTTGAAGTCGGCGTAAAATGGGCCCGTTTTGTTAGTCGATCGACGATCACCATGATAGCATCGTGGCCAGCTGATGTCGTCGGTAGGCTCACCATGAAATCCATGCTAATGTCCTGCCATCGAAACGAGGGTACATCCAGTGGCCGCAAATACCCATGTGCTTTACCACGAGGGTTCTTTGAGCGCTGACATGACTCACAGCTAGCCACGTACTTGCGAACAGTTTTTATCATATTGGGCCAGTAATACTTTGCTGCCATGTAAATGTAAGTCTTCTGATAACCAGGGTGACCTCGGGACACAACATCGTGCTCCTCAAAAAGCAGTCGATTGCGTAGCGACGCGAAGGCGGGGATGCACAGCCGAAGAGGTGCTCCGACAAATGGCTGAAAGTAAACTAATCCAGCGTCGACGTGAAAATGACGTAATTCGGAGAGAAGCTCAGGCTGGTCTGTTGATAGCCGCTTCAAAATGGGGCCAATATATGAGTCCGTAGCACATAATCGGCGACACTCGTCGAGGATACAGACTTGTCCCTCACGTTGTAGTACGAAAAGCGAGTTGGGCTCAATCGCGAGCTCCGGCTTCGTCAAAGACTCCAACAGTGCTGATAAACTAATCGCTCGAGCAGTCCCATCATTCCAGACGGGCTTCCTAGAAATCATATCCGCTACAATATTTGAGCTGCCTTCAATCCACTTAAACATTGGTTGGAAGAGCGCAAGCTCATTAAGCCACCGCGCCAATCTCTGAGAACACGTTTGCTGCTGGAGAATAGTGGCAATCGTGTGATGATCGGTGTTAATGTAAAAAGGTCGATCAATCAGATAAACTTTCCAAAGTCGCATCGCGTGCAAGGCTGCCAGAAGTTCCTTCTCACGTGTTGGATAAATTATTTCTGCACGAGACAGCTTCCGTCCATCGTATGCCATAATTTGCTCGGCACCATTCTCGTCACGCTGAAACAAATATCCGCCAACTGCAAAGTCCGATGCGTCCATACTAACATGGTATGGGCGCGAAAAATCTGGATGTGCCAATATCGGAGGTGATGTTAAACGTGTCTTGAGAGAATCGAACGCTGTCTTGTGAACCTCTGTAAACTCAACCTTGTCGCTCTTGGCTTTGCCCTTGGTTAATTCTGTAAGGGGAGCCACTAATGCCGCGAAGTCGGGACAAAATCGCAACACGTAGACACACGTACCCAAAAATGACTGAAGTTGATGCTTCGTACGAGGCACCGGCCAGTCCGCGATGGTGCTGCACTTTGTAGGATCCATTCGAACGCCATCTTTTCCAATGAAGTCACCGAGACAAGGTATATCTGCAGCACAAAATGTGCATTTAGAAAGTTTGATGTACAGATTCTGATTGACGCAGCGCTGAAACACCTTCTCCAACGCCATTAGATGTTCGTCCACGGACTCGGAAGCAGTGAACACGAAAAAATCATCAAAGTAAGTCTAGCAGAAGGCCTGCTGATCGCTAAAAATGGATTGCACGAGCCTATTGAAGCACGATGGACTGCTTGACACGCCCATAGGTGTAACCAAGTACTGGTAGAGGCCATCGGGTGTGGAAACGCTGTGTACGGAATGAAGTCGGCGCGCAGTCGAACTTGATAGAAACCCCAAAGGAGATCCATAGCCGAGAAGAGCTGAGCTCCAGCCATAGCTCGGTAAATTTCCTCATTACGAGGTATGGGGTTAGTGGGCACGCGCATTTTTGCATTAAGCTTCCGAAAGTCATGGACAATACGCCATTCTCCCAAGCTCTTCCGGACGCAAAATGTGGGTGCGCAGTAGGGCGAAGCTGATTTGCGGATAAACTTTGCTGCCAGCATTTCCTTCGTCCACAGTCGAATTGCTTCTCGCTGGGCTGCAGATAATGGAAAATGTTTCCTGTGGACAGAAGTGTCGTCCGTCAGCTCAATACTTGCCTCCATTAGACCTTCACGCACGGGAGGCACGGATGGCAATTCCTCACGAAATAACTGCGAGCATAACTTGCAACGCAGAGGGTACGCTGGAGATGTCTTCAATACTTCCCAGGCGAGGTCTTCTTTCGATGCAGGTTCGTTTGCGTTGACAAAAAGGCAGAACTCGTTGTCAGTGGCGCGAAGTAGAGCTTTCAGGTGTCTTGTCGAGACCACGCGCGTAGCCCCATACACAGACTGATAGTTATGGGTGCTGTAGTAGTGCAAGATATCTGTCGATACAGGAGTTGAACGGCGCTGACAGCGAGTACGACGTCCGCCGACGCGCATAGAGACTTGTGCCGGCACACACTGACAAAAGGCCAATGCCCTATTGCCGTTCCGTGGAGTGATAACTCGAGTGGACCAATCAATATCAGGATTAGCTGTAACTAGCCAAGGCATGCCCAAGAGGACATCCTTACCCTCGGGCACCTCCATAACGAGGGCGCGAGTAGTGTAAGACGAAAATTCGGGAATTAGGCACTTGAGACGGACCACCTTTCGCGGGATTATTAACTTCTTGCCGCCACCAATGCGGATGGAGACAGGTGTGATAGTTCGCTACGCGTAGCCCGAGTTTCTCGACGAGCTGAGGCGTGACCGCGTTAAATGAAGCACCACAGTCGATAAAAGTAGAAACAGCCTTGGACCGAATGACGGCTGGCTGTTCCAGAAAACCATAAATTCCGTGCTTAGGTCTACTGTATGTGGGATTGTCGCGACTGTAAACATAAAGAGCCGGTGTCGTCACACAAACAGTTGGACTGAAGGACGGTGTAGCTGAACTCACGAACAGTGTATGGTTGCCACTGTCGGAGTCGTGCTCGGCGGGGCGCCAGCCCGCCGAGCTAGCTAATTATTTGGCACCCCGGTGTTCCCACGCTCGGGACACGCTGGTGCAATGTAACCAGGCTGGTGACAGTTATGGCACACAATAGGCGCCTTTGCCTTTGTATTGCTGGTTGCGCCTCGCGGAGTAAATTCCGACCCGGATTTGCCCTGTTTCTTGTCATTTGTTGAAGGCAGATCTTTCACATCACCGCGACGGGTACCACGGGCGTCTTCAAAACGTTGTGCGTGCATGATGGCATCGTGTAGTGTGGTAGGGATGCTCTGAGATATGTGACAGCTTGTATCGGATCGTAGATTTTGCTGATAGAACCACCTTTTGACAATTTCAGGCATGTCAATCGTCAATTGGGACAAAAGTAGCATAAATTTTGACGTGTAATCTTGCTGCGTTCCCGAGACGCGAAGATTGTAGAGCTTAGATAACAGCTTGTAGTCAAAATCGCTGTCGCGAAATCGTAAACGAATTTGCTGTTTAAAGACAGCCCAGACGCGAGGTGACCCACAAAGGGTCGTCTTAAACTCACGGTACCACGACATGGCTTCAGTTCCCAGAAACGGGACGACCATGTCGACGAACCTAGAATCAGGGGCATCACGCTCTGCAGCATACGCGCTGAAATGCTCCTCAATGTGAAAGAGCCAAAGCTCCAGGTCCTCGGACGACTTGCCGCTGAACTTAGGCGGGTCCGCCTTTTGCTTTTGGGTGTTTGCACGCGCTTGGCTCTCGTACATTTCGCACTGGAATAGCGCTTGCTGTTGCATGAAAGCATGGAATTGCTGTTGTTAACCCTGTATAGCCTGCTGTTGCTGAGCCTGCATAGTCTGTTGCTGTGCGATGAGCATTTGCATGAGCTGGGCAGTCACATCTGGGCCAGCGGCCGCTGATCCAGCATGAGTCGCGTTGTTGGCGGTAGCGGTAGGCGGGACCGACGACGGACCTGGGCCTGCTGCGGCATCACCGTTTGCCTCTTGTGTCTGGGCCCCAGCATTGTTAACGTTGGGCGTCTCAGCCATGTTAGACTCGTCGTCTAGGAGAGTTTGCTAACGGGGGCGCAGATTGGGAGATTCGTCTTCAAAGGGACGGGGTGTTTTCATACAATCTCTAGTCGTACTTAAACGAAGTAGAACGGTACGTCGAGACTTTCAAAAACAAGTTGTTGAAAGCCCAGACTGGAGACTAGAAACTTGAACTGGAAACTTGAATTCGACTCAAGTATAACCTCAGGTATAATTTCGAAATTGTTATGGGTTTTACTGGAAGACGAGTGAGTCTTGATCGGCTTGCGTAGTTGCAGGAAAATAAAAGACTGAATTGAATAGAATGCCTTTAGTTGGCAGAGTGAGAGTAGCAGGCACGAGATGCTACTGCCTCGTGCCTAGAAATGAAACCTGTGAGATGAAGCTACAGGTGTTGCGAAACTACTGGAGTAATTGCGATCGAGCTGCCATGCGACTGCGTGGAGCAGCTTGCCAGAACTTGTGACCTTGAAGGGCAATACCCTTCACAGTATCGGACCGACGTGAGTAGAATCGTTTCTTCTCAAAAGCAACGTTTCCACTTCAGTCATTTTGCACGACGAATAGTATTTATCTTTATATTTACCCAGATAACCTAATTGTGTCATTTGCGTGAAAGGATGACAATTACAGGTGCTGCGCCCGCTCACTACGACTGGAATTTCGCTTGTTGCGGAGGCTGTTCCTCGTCTCAACGCGAGGACGCTTACAATGGGAAATTCGCGACAGGATCGCTCGTGTTTATCTGGGATATCAAGCTCAAAACAGACCCGCAGCCAGCGTGTTTGGTGACATTCCCGTATGATCCAGCACTGAACGAACAAGTTGGTGAGCGACGTGTAAGAAGTGGTCGACGAGTAGGCACCAGCTATCCGATCGACAATGACTACGACTATCTATGCTGTGAACAACGCGGGACTTGCCGTGCTCTTAACGAAGACGCATCCGGGAAATGTCAATGTCTAAAACGGTGGGGATACACTGGCGGTCATTGCCAAAACAGCGGTAAGACTGGCAGATTATAGCAATATTTTCTACTGAACTGACGCTCATTGTACAGTATACGACGTTGCAAAAGTTGTCAACGACGTAGTTTTTCCGAACTGCACGAATATGTCGTCTGTACATCACTTGTTGCCTGATTTGCGCTCCTATTTACTGTCATTTGACTACGACGTGGCGATAACAAGGGCAACTACATCAAATGCCCCCACAGGATTCCTCGACGTGCTCGAATCGGGCTCCTATCGCCAATTTGGCTGGTCTGCAATGACTTTTTTCGCGCTTGCATCCTCATTTTTCGTACTTGTATTTATCCTTCACATGATGTGGAATCTATGTTTCTCGAAGTGCAGCTGTCATCGGTATACTAAGTTCAAGATCTACAGTAAACGCCAGAAAATTAAGTGGGGAACCTTCATGATGGTAGTTATCGTCGCCAGTAACGCAGCGGCTTTGATGACTTTTTTCGTGGTATTTAACGACATCAAGCCTCTCGCTGAATCGGTGTTTACCGTCCTGAATAAAACACTTCCGAGCAACCTTACAACATTCGAAGCAAAATTCCTGTCGCCACTGGATGATCTTCTTTCGAATGGGTACAAAGAACCCAACGGAGATTCGATTTTCCTACAGAGTATCCAAGAGCATTCTATTATCGATTTAGAGCCTCACGTATTCCTGGATAACCAAAGCTATGCCGACGACATCATAGGCAAACCAGTATTTCATCTACTTGATCCTCTTGCCAAGTATTCTGCACTTTATCCAACAGTCAACAACAATTCAATGGACTGTGAGGACATGAATATTACCCAGCCAAGTGTCACTTCTCGAATGACAATCGGTGGTCAAACTGGCTGTTTCAAGTGCAAAACATGCTTCGCGATCGTGGAGCTGATAGCACAAGCGAAAACGTCATGGAGAAGGCAGATTTTTGAAGTGCAGATCGACATGCTTTTGGCAAAAAATGACCTCAAGAATTTTAGCGTAACAAGCAGCTCACTAACACCGACGATTCGAAATTTTCTGGATCGAATGCACTTAATGTGCAGTGACTTTCGTGAAGTTAGCAACCGACTTGCAACAGCTTACGATGATATTGCAAATGAGATACAACACTTGTCACTGTGTGGTCTTTACGCACTTTGCGTCCTCTGTGGTTTGTCCATTCCCCTCGGTGCTAGCGCCTTTGCTCACGGGATTCTTGCGGGTAAGCGGAGAGTCGGTCGTGCAACATGCTTCTGCGTTGAGATAGCGTTTCTCCTCGCTTTGATTCTTACCGGAGTACTCTACACGATGAGTCTTATGCTTCAAGATGGGATTGTGGTTTTACGACGACTTGAAGAGAATACGTACGCATTTCTACCTTCGATTCAGTCCGCGGAAGACGTAAACAGGCTTCTTTTTGATCAAAACTTTGTGGAGACTACAGGGATGGCCGGGACTCTCGCGTTTAGTGACACTCTTCGTGTACCACCACACCCCACATCTGCCACGGACGAGCCTGATCGATTTAATTTTACAGAACTGTATGATATGCCAGTACTCTTTGCACTGGGGGACCTCACAGCTCGACCAGATGAGGCCTTGATCGAGCTATTTGCTTGGAATGAGAAATTTGTATCAAGGCATTACGAGGAACTTAAGCAACTTGCTTTATTCGACGCGGAAGTTGAAACCCCGTACAACGAAACGCAACACCAGGATCTCCTTAACTCCACGATCCAGAAACTAATGGATCCTGATAAGGATGGTGAACTCGTGACACCGAATGATTTATTAGAAATTGAGACTGTTTTTAATAAAAGCTGGCGAGGAATCAGTGACAAAGGTCTGGAACGAAACACGATTATTCAAACGCAGTGGCTATTCGTTGCGCAACTTTATAACCAGAAACAGAAACTGGAGGTGTACGTTGCTACCATCTCCCGCTATATCAGTAAAATCCACCAGCCACTGGGTGAGTATTGTATCATTGCTTTTCTGTTTCAGAATAACCTACAATTGTACTGTACAGATGATTTAATCATTAAAACTCAGACAATGGAAAACGCAGAATTCCAATTAAAGGCTCCTGTTGAGTTCGTGACTGATTTAATACGCGCCAGCAAGATCGCCGATTGCAATTTCAATGGAAACTGTGGTACGTAAGCTGAAGTTTTTTTAGATTAAAATCACCGAGTTACCGCATCGTCTGACTGTTCGTCTACAGCTTGGTTTCGTTCAGCGCTCAACAACTTATTCGATCTTTTCCAACAAATGGTACTAAAAGCAGAGCGTGCTGCAATTTCCTGCGCGGTGACTGCAACAACACTTTTACTGTCGAGACTTTGCACCAACACATTCACTTCCAGAATGCGTCAGAACATGGTGAAAGTGTACTCTTCGGGTTAAAAAAAAAAAAAGTTTTAAACCATCTACAATCATTCCTTTTTTCAGTTGGACATTTTGTCTCAGTGATTGATTTTAAGCGTCAGCCAATAGGAATCGTTCCTTTTTCAATAAGTCGGTCCGACCAGATCATTCTTCAATTAGACCCCATGTACGCACAACATCCCCCATATTATCGGCGGGAGCGCTCGCTCTCGTCTCCGTCGGCCCCCCCTGTCGATAGCCACCCATACAGCTACCAAGTGGAGCCACAGGCGCCGCCTCCGGACCGTCGCGGCTCCTTCCAGGCCTACGCTCCACCTCAGACGCCTCTGTACCCCGACATCGGTCAGCATCAGACTGCACCCACCGCTCCTGACCGCGATTCCTTCATCCAGCAACCGAATAACCCCAGCGGCCCCCCACAGCAGTCTAGCCAGCACTTTGGGGCCCCTCCGGCTCCAATACAGCAACAACCAGCTCCTTTTCTGCGTGAACCCACGTTGTATGGTGGATACGGCCCCGTCCAACCCGGCAGCTTCTCATCCTCGACGAGTTCGATGTCGTTAATGCCCAATGGCATGCCAGCGACACCATCTAGCGTCGTGCAGCTTCGATTCCGCTGCAAAGGACTGAAAAAATCCGATTTTTTGAGCCAATCCGACCCGTTTCTCGTCATTTACATGCAGGAAGCCCAGAAACAAAAATGGAGAGAAGTCGGTCGCACCGAGACGATCAATAACACACCTGATCCGACATTTGCCAAGTCGTTCCAGGTGGACTTTTTCTTTGAAGAAGTCCAGCGTCTTCGAGTCGAAGTTTTCGATCGCGATAGCTCGTCCGAGAGATTATCTGACCACGATTTTTTAGGCTGTGTGGAGATTACTATGGGGCAACTTATGTCGTCCAAAGGCCAGTCGGCGGTGCTTAAGTTGCTGCAAAATGACAAAACCAGGGGACATGTCCATAATCTTTCTGGCCATGTGGTCATCGACGCCGAGGAAGTGGCTACATGTGCCGAGATGGTCAAAGTCCGCTTTACTGCCACCAAACTGGACAACAAAGACGGCTGGTTCGGTGCCTCGGACCCGTTCTTGAACATCTACCGACTTCGAGACGAAAAATCCGACCCGCTTGCTGCGTCGTCGTGGATTCTCGTGTGGCGCAGTGAAGTTGTGATGAATGATTGCGACCCAAAGTGGCGTCATGCTACCATAAGTGTCCAGAATCTGTGCAATGGCGAATTATCCAGACTCTTAAAGATCGAATGTATGGACTGGGAGAAGAATGGCAAGCACCAATTCATTGGCAGCTGTACAGTCCGAGCCGCCGAGTTTGTGACCGGAGAAGTGCGTAGTTTGGACCTGATTAACCGGGAGAGACGAGCCAGAAAAGGCAAAAGATACAAGAATTCCGGTGTGTTGGTACTCGAGCAGATTGAAATGTTCAAGCAACATACGTTTGCGGAATATCTACGTGGCGGATGCGAGGTCAGTTTGATCGTTGGGATCGACTATACAGCGTCGAATGGGAGTCCATTTGACCCATCGAGTCTGCATTACATGGGTGGGAATTACCAGGGGCAGATGAACGATTACCAAGCTGCGATTGCCGCTACCGGCGCCATTTTGGAGCCGTATGACTCGGACAAACGCTTCCCTGTCTACGGCTTCGGTGGCCTGGTCAATGGTGTTGTGGATCATTGTTTCCCATTGACATTTGACCCGTCACAGCCCGAAGTGGAGGGGATCGGAGGCATCATGAAGACGTATTCGGATTCCTTCCAGTTCGTTCAGCTGCATGGACCTACTAAGTTTGCGCCGTTAGTGCATCAGGCTGCAGCCATCGCACAGACGTTCTCAGCGCCAGCAGAGCTAGGTGGAGGCGGGAATCTTAAGTATTTCGTGCTTATGATCATCACGGACGGCGCTATTATGGACATGCAGGAGACGATTGACGAACTGGTGCAAGCGTCCACACTGCCCTTGTCGATTGTGATTGCGGCCGTGGGCAACGCTGACTTCACGGCGATGAACGCGCTGGATGCGGATGACAAAGTGCTGATTGATTCCAGACGACAGAGAGCTGCACGTGACATGTAAGTTTTTTATTTACTTATTTGTTTGGGACGATATTGTCTAATTCAGGATGCTTTTGGGGAATTTCAGTGTGCAATTTGTCCCGTTCAACCAGTTTCGTCGGAATCCGGCGCGACTAGCAAAGGTATGTCCTTAAAATGACCAAAAGCGTGTTTTTGGAGGTAGCTTTTTTACTAACTTTTTTTCTTTTTAGGAAACACTGGCTGAGATCCCTACACAGTTACTGCAATATTACAACATGAAGGGAATTAAACCACGGATTCCGCTACAGCGTCAAGGGACGAGCTACCTGGTCAGCAGCTCTATCAGCAGTGGCATAGCTGATGCATTAGATGTAGAAGTTTAGAAGAAACGCCACAAATTTTGAATTTGACAAATATTTTTGAAAACGCATCACATTTGCTTTAAATTTAGCGCTTGTTGGTCGTTTCCGACGAGGCAGTCTCGAAGACTCCACAATGGAGTCCGGCGCAGCGCCGACGGTGAGTTACCGCGCATATCTCGGTCCATAATTGATGCTGACAATCAGCGTATGCAGAGTCTAAACACGAAGAGAGACGAAGTCTTGGGCGTCGACGTGGTGATATCGGTCCCGGGACTGGTTCGTAGACATTTCTAAGCTCTGGTATTAGAAAATAGGTTATCAACGTGATGGTACTATGACGTTGTCCAGTATTCCGTACCGGAGAATGCCGCAAATGACTCGAGCGAAATTCCGGTCGTAAATTCGGCACCACGGATGGATAAGGTAAATATGATTAAGTTTTCGAGTTGACTTTAATGCTTATATGTCTTTTCGAAGTCGATATTCGACATGCCGATGCCATCCAGTAGAACTATCACGAGTGTGGCACAACAAACGATCGTTGCTGGCGCTGAGAGTGCTCGAAGGGGTAACGAGAATCTGCGGTCCAATCTGGTGGCGTTGACGCTTGTGCTTTCCTACGTCGTCGTGAGCATCTTGGTCTTTCACTACACCGAGAAATGGTCCGTTGTGGACTGCGTGTACTACGCGATGGTCATCGTAACTACAGTGGGCTACGGCGACGTGGTACCCATTACAAATGCCGGTAAGGCGATTACAATCTTCTTCTCGTTCTATGGCATTTGCACAATCGCTGTGGCCCTCGGACAGTTGGCCTCCTGGTTTCTTCAGCGTCAAAAGCACGTCACGAAAATGGCAACACAGAAGCTACTAAAGAACGTGGAGAATGCAGCTGCAACTGCTACTGGGTCCGTGCAGGACAAAGAAGCGAAAATCCGAAAAATGGACAACCGAAAAACTCGCTGGAAACGCTTCCAGAAGAGCTTACCGGAGTGGGCCCGCAAGATCTTTTCGGACAGTAACAAGGCCATTTTCCACGCCTTCGTACCCATTCTTATCTCGATTATGGCGGGGCTCATTGTGGGCGCTATTGAAGGCTGGCCGGTACTGGATTGCTTCTACTATACGTTAATCACGATCACGACTGTAGGCTTTGGCGATCTATCGCCGAAATCGGAAAGCGCTCGGATTTTTGCTATTTTTTACTTGCCTCTGGCTGTGGTGACAGTAGCGCATGGCATCGGCTCGATCGTCAATGAGCTTAGCGCGAGATCGGTGATGAAAACCAAGATCAGTATGAAGGAGCTGCTGGATATGGACACTGATGGTGACGGCAAGGTGTCCCAGCTGGAGTATTTGTGCTACATGCTCGTGAAGCTAAACAAGGTCGATCAGGACGATATCGGCGGTATCATCACTCAATTTCACAAACTGGATCGAGACGGCAGCGGTGAATTGGATCGCGATGATCTAGAGCGGCTCGATCGTGAGCTTCAACGTCAGAATGAGGAGGAGTCTAGCTGCTGAATTATATATGCTTGAATTAAAACTAATTAACTCGCTATCCGTGGCCAAAAATGTATTGGTTGTTTTACAATTATATTACTTATTTTACTTTACAGTACTTCTTTAAAGTAGTAGTTTGAGTGGCTGTTGGTTTAAAGAGCTATTATATTATGTTCCAGCTGTAGTAAAAAAGGCAAATTAGATAAAACGAGGCAATCTTGTCGTGTCTCACAGCTGTCGCTACTTCCGTAATACTAAGTACCCCGTTCAACCTGGACGAAAAAACCATTGGAATTCGTCTCGGATCCCTGGAAAGGACAGGTCGTGCAATGCAAGATTTCTAACTTCCCACTTCCCCTGGTCTCCTATTCCGCTCTCTTACTCCCATATTTCCTTAATCTTGCGCGTCCCGGTCAAAGAAGGTTGTCGCTGCTCTTCGTCGTGGAAGGCCCTCGGCATCTTTTCCTCGAAAGCTTGGTCGTATCGTGGCTCCGGTTTCTCCTCTAGATCAGTGGCAAAAGGTCTGATCCCTAGCTTGGTTTGCTGCGGTGGACGCGCCTCGTAGCTAGTCACGTCGCCGATCAGACACTCGTCGGTGATCCTTGCTCCTTCAAAAATGGCGCATAGCTCGTGTGGGTCTCGAAGAAAGCGCGCAAACTCTCCGAGAAAGTCTAACTGGAAGTTGAGCGAGACGACGCTGTGTGTCTGTGTATCGAAGACGAAGTCAAACCTCCCAATACCTTCGAACACCCGCCCAAGTATTTTTGCCGCGATGCGTGGGTATTGACGCAGTACGTTAGGGAAAATGACCTCCAGAGTGTCTCGCGTTACCACGTGTCTATAACTGGCGTAGGACGTCACAATCGTCCGTCCTTCCGCTGAAACTACTTGAGACCGCAAGTAGTGAAATTCGAGCTCCGAAAGAGCTTTCGTGTACTGTTCCCATTGATGCAGCATCACTCCACGTCCGTTGAAGTCACCGATACGCAGGTTCTCGTCCATGACTTGGATAACGAATTGGTTAGGGTCAAGCACGGCGCCTGGGTGATAACCGTTCTCAAACACGCGATGGTACTCTTGCACTGTCTTGACGTAGTAGCCATCCAGTGCATCACGTCGATTGAAAGTCCGTGCATTCAGCACTTGCTGGTATTCAGTCAGTCGTTGGATCTCTTGTCGAAGATCCATGACGTCTAACTCCAGGTTGTAAAGCTGCGAGGCTTGGGAATCGCGTGTCCGCCACTTGAGCTTCTTGCGTCGATTGGGAGCTCTTCTCGCTGCAGCGAGTGCTGTGACAACTGGCACCCGTGGGGCAAGAACTGGTCGAGATCGTACTGGTGTTACATCAAAGGTTTCGGCCATGGAATCGTACGGGTTCATCGCTGCCTGATGATATCTTGGGGACCTCCTGGTGAATTTACGAGTGAGAATGACTGCCCGGGGTCGGTCGGCCGATTTGCAATTCGACTGTTAGCTTCGAACGTTCCTGTTTCGATCGCTTACGTCTCACCGGTAGCATCAGAAATTGCGGCGAGCAATTAGGGTCAGTGACATGGAATACTCTCTGGATACAGTCCTGAAAAGGTTGCACTACAAGGTCCAACATTCTATGGTCAACACGGTCGGCTGCATCCAACGACTTAACATGTTGTCATTAGATGTCCACTGAAGATCTAAAAAGGATGTAGACTACTGGTTTATAGCACAAGAACTTTAGTTTAATGACCGGGGGCTGCATTTTCGATGAATTAAGGTGCTCACTTTGGTGAAACATGTGAAACAGATTGAGTTAGTTCCGCATAAGTTGGCACTTTCGGACACTGGTCGTGTGCCGCAAACTCTCCGTGATCTCGGTAGATGAGCCGGGTTGTCGCTGTCTGTACCGGCACAATAACCTTCCTGTAAGTTTACTTTCCAAAACACATCTGAGAGAGTAATCCCGCCTGTCGAGCCAAGGAGATCAAGCTTGATTTAAGCTGCAGTTTTACAATTGGGAGCATTGTCTCAAAACAGAAGATCGCAAGACCTTCGAGGCAGCCGCGGTATTGGCCGTAACCGATGGCCCTCAGCTGCAATGTGGAGTTACATGCGGGAACGCTGCATAAGACAAGTCTTGTCTAGCGCATCGGAGATACACGTACAAAGTCATCCACACATATTGGACGACAAGCCTGCAACCAAGAGACTCGTCCATTGGAGTCTTTACTTAACTTAGCACAAAATTTTAAAATGTAGAGAAATTTCTGAGTAAAGGTAAGGCGCCTCTGCTATTAAAATACAATAGGCAGCCTAAACTTGCAAGGCAGTTTACTAAGTATATGCTTCGCATGCAAAATAATATTTTTAAATAAAAAGATTATTCTCTGGATTCTATTTCCAAGGGCTGTAAATTACGACTACCCGAAGTAATTTATTCCACGTGAATGTTGTTCGAGCAGACGTCGCAGATGATGCGGCTGCGGAGCAGGTGCAGCAGATGGGAGCTAATATTCTCGTAAAAGTACATTTTTCTGGCACTTTTTTCCTTACTGACACTGTAAAACCAGCAACCGCCCTACACACAGCAGTGTAATCCAGAGCTTCTCCGTGAAACACGGCTGTGACTGAAAAAATGATACTTCTGAAGTACTTATTTAGATAACGAATCTTGCGTTGTGCGGTACATTCATGCCAAGGTGATACACCATTTGCCGAGTATTCACGCTGCTACACAAGCAGCAAGCGAGGCTGACCGAACATGTACCGGTATTACATGAAAGAATCGAGGTTGTGAGGCAGTCTTATCCGTGCTCGCTTGTGGTATGAATTCCCTTGAGTTCTGTAATAAAGTATCCGTTTGAGCCTAAATGGTCTGTTTGGAATTCATCTTGGATCGCTGGAAGGGAAAAGACGACATCCCAAGATTTCCGGTCTACCACTGTCTTGAGACAGTTAATCGAATGAGTTTTGAAAAGTAGTAATAATAGTAGTCATACCTGAAACTTTCAAACCTTATTATAATAGTTGACTAGGCTCATATAGTATTACAAAAAGCAATTCGTGTATTAATACTTACACCAAAAGGCTGATAAAATCCAGCTCTAATCTATGTGTCAGACGACGGAAGATGTTGCACTCACTGCCCGTCCTAGTACTGTACGCAGAGGACTCATTAGTAATAACCCTGACGTTCCTAAGCAAATGGTGAGCAGCTAGATTTCAACCTCGTGCTAATTTTGCGACCGACATTTCCAAGTTCAGCAAAGAGGAAGCTCGGAATGACGTCCTCGAATCATGTTATCCACAGGGTTTTTTTGGCGCACGTTGTACTCCATGTCAATTTAGATTAGATATAAAGCTAAACGCGTAACAGATGGATAAAGTTTCATGTCTTCCAGTGGCATGTATCCCTGGTACATAGGTCGTTGCTGTCTACATACTTAACCTAAAAGCCACAACGATGCCCTGGCACGTCTTGCCAGCTGAATTCGACCTTGACCTACCGCGTCCGCTGCAGAAGAGAAATGAAGTCAAGATACAAACTAGAAGATTTCGATGTGAACGTAACACAGTCTTCAAGCTACTTAAAGTACATTACTACTAAGTGAATACTTTTGAAAAGATGCAACTACTATTAAAAACATAGCACTACTACTTACAAATATAGTAGTACTGTTGATGCTCCGTCATCTTACTCCCAAATTTGCTTGCGCTTGCCAGTCCTGGTTAACGAAGGCTGTCGGAGCTCTTCGTTGTCGTAGCTCCGCGACGTCTTGTCCTCTAAACCTATATCGAATCGGGTCTCCAACTTCCCCTTAGGACTATTCGCTGTCGCAGCTTCATCTCTTTCGCTATCTTGAAGCGGCATAATTTCTTTGTAACACGCCACGTCACCAATCAGACACTCCTTGGAAATCCTTGCTCCGTCGAATACGGCACATAACTCACATGGATTCGGAAATAATCGTGCAAACACTTCGAGAAAGTCTACTTCGAAGTCGAACGAAACGACGTAGTGACTCTGCGTGTCGAAGGTAAAGTCGATCCTCCCAACACCATTGCACACGCGCCCCAGCAGCTTCGTCGCAATGCGTGGGTACTGACAAAGTACGTTAGGGAACACGACTTCCAAGGTGGCTCGCGTTACGACGTGTCTATAACTCGCGTAGGACGTCACAATCGTCCGTCCTTCCGCTGAAACTACTTGAGACCGCAAGTAGTGAAATTCGAGCTCCGAAAGAGCTTTCGTGTACTGCTCCCATTGATGCAGCATCACTCTACGTCCGTTGAATCCACCGATACGCAGGTTCTCATCCATGACTTGGATAACGAATTTATTAGGATCCAGCGAGGCGCCCGGGTGATAGCCGTTCTCAAACACGCGGTGGTACTCTTGCACTGTCTTGACGTAGTAGCCATCCAGTGCATCACGCCGATTGGAAGTCCGTGCATTCAGCACTTGCTGGTACTCCGTCAGTCGTTGGATCTCTTGTCAAAGATCCATGACGTCTAGCTCCAGATTGTAAAGCTGCGAGGCTTGAGAATCTCGCGTCCGCCACTTGAGCTTTTTGCGTTGATCGGGAGCTCTTCTCGCTGCGGCGAGTGCTGTGACGGCAGGAACACGCGGAGCTAGCACGGGTCGAGATCGTACTGGTGTTACGCTAAAAATTTCGGCAACGGAAATGATCGTGTTCATGGTTGTCGGGCAAGATATTGTGAATGCCTGGCGAATTCACAACTGACTGAGTCATGTGAATATTTGTCGCCGGTCGGTCGATCTGCTATTCGACTGTTAGCTTCGGGCGTTTTCTGTTTCGATCATTCGCCACTGACACGTTAAAGGTTGCGGAGATTGTGGGAAGTCCAGAAAGCGTGAGCATCTATCGGTGAGAAACCCAAAATCATTTCTGTACAAAGTGTTAAAAACTGCAATGCAAATGGACAAACATGATCCTATTTCGTCGGTGTTGATTGGGTCAGCACTCTATTGCCGTTTTGGTTGTAAGCGGTAAGGTATCAAACTTTCGTACTAGTTAAATACAAATACTTCTGTGCGACCTTCTGCCCACTGCTGGCGGCTCATTTCCTATTTGGTCGCTCATTTGGAGGTTTGATTGCAAGCTAAATTTGCGGACGTCTTTCATGTCGTCAACGGCATATTCTCAGATACGGGGTACGTACAAAACGGAGACGAGGCTCTCAAACAGTATTGCAGTCTGCAACCACAAATGTCGACTTCAATGTCGTAAATTTGGAGCGAACAGCACTTCATATTTCAAAGCTGTAAGAACAGTTATAAATGTGAGTAAAAACTACTTGAAGTAAAAAGCAGTTTAACAACAGCAAAATTCGATGAGCAACTTCTTGGCCAATAGGAATGCCTCATTCCTGTCACTTCAACTTGGAGCAACGTCTCTATTCACGGTGTCAGTTAAAGACAACATACGTCCTCGCATCATTTCTTGATAGTACGTGGACGTCGCAGCACCGAATAGGCGTTGGACGATGCAGTCTTGCCCGGTGTCTCACTACACTTACGGATCAGGTTCCACAGGTCTGTAATGAAGAATTCACTTCAACATGGACGGAATCGTTCGAATTCGTCTCTGATCGCTACAAGGGAAAAGGCGTGACCACAAATTAGGCATCAGGCTTTCAGTTCATTGCATGGCTCTCATACTCCCAAATCAGCTTGCGCTTGCCTGTAATGGTCAACGAAGGCTTTCGGCGCTCTTCGTCGCTGTTGTTTTCTAAATCCGCGAACACCATCCTGTTCTCTTCGCAGCAGCCCCAGTGATGTACTCGCCCGTAGCCGGTCACGCCGCCAATCCGTCAGTCCTCAGTGATCCAGCTCGAAGTCGAAGCTGACGCCTTTGAACACACGCCCCATCATCACCGTTTCGATACGTGGCTACTGCTGTCACAGTGCTTTAGGTAACATTACATGCACAGTGTCTAGTGCTACGATGTGTTTGTAGCTGGCCTAGGACGTGACGACCGTGTGCCTTCCCATCGAAAAAAAC